ACTTGTGTTAAAGCAGCCCATTTAGTTGTACTTGTAACCTTGGTTTTGAGTCTTTGAAGTTCCTGAGTTGTTTGTCTGTGAAACTGTGGATTGTTCCTTCTGATATGAATGAGAGTCTAGCTGAGTAAAGTATTTTTGGTGAGGCATTTATTTCATTGAGTTTTTTTCCCACTACTGTCTTCGGGCCCTGAGGATGTCATCAGATAAGTATGCTCTAAACCTTAAGAATGCTCTTTTATACGCAGTTTTTTTGTTGTTGTTGATCTTGCTGCTTTCAGAATTTTGTCTCTGTCTGTGGTTTTCTTCATTCTGATCAGGATGTGTCTTGGAGTGTTTTTATTTGGGTTTCTTCTAGGTAGTACCCTTCTGGCCTCCTGAATCTGTGTGTGCTCTTCAGCTCTGTGAATGTCTTAGCAATGATGTCTTTGACAGTTTCTTCTTCATCAGGGTTTTCTTTCTGTCCCTCTGGGACTCCAATGATTCTTATGTTATTCCTCATGGTTTCATCCCAACTTTTTCTTGACATATGTTGGTTCATTTTGAGGCTCTTTTCCATTTTCTGCTGTTGTCTGGAGAGTCTGCACTTCATCTCGGAGTTCACTGATTGTCTTCAGCAGCTGTTACTCTGCTGCTGAGACCTTCCACTGAGTTTTTCAGTTCACCAACCAGGTTTTTTAGATCTGTCATTTCTGTTTGTAATTTTGTTTGCATTTTATTGGTATCCTTTAAAAGACAAGATCAGTTTCACAAAGATTTATGTTTTCTACATAATGATGGTAATCTCAGTAATTCCTGTCATCTCAGTAATTTCCCTTAACATTAGTGCCTTGAATTCACCAATCAAAAGACACACATTGGCTGAATGGACTAGAAATATGAATCCAGCTTTCTGCCTACAGAAGACACATCTGAAAAGTCATGTTAAACTCAGGTTCAAAGTAAAAATTTGGAAAACAATCTTACTGGTAAAAGCTCACAAATGACCAGATGACCACACTTATATAATCAGAATACACTTCACATTCAAATAAAAAACTGTAAGAGGCCGGAGCATCATTGTTTAATGACCAAGGGAACTAAACCCCTGTTAGGCTTTACACTCATAAGTTTATATGGAATCCTCCATGCTCAGCCTCTGCCATCTTATCAGACGCCGAGCAACATCTCCTGCACCTCAGCCTGGTTCTCCACCCATACAGATGAGATTAATTTTGCAGCTGACATCCTCTGGCCCTTTTGGAACAGAGGCAGTTTCCCCTTCTAGCTGGGTCCTGGCACCCTTCACAGCCAACTTCCACCCTCATAATAGGCCCAGAGCCATATCTCCTGAACTGGCATGTGAACAGTTCCACTCATCAAATTTTACATTGCTCACAGTTATACTTTCTGTCATGAAGTGAAAACAAGCAGGGAAGGAAAAGAGCAACACCCAACCTAATCTCTCAGTGTGTCTCAGCAGGGCTAGTTACACTGACACCATAACCAAAATACTTCAAACCCAGTGGGAAGACACAGAGAAACCCACCAAGTTTTATGGGTGAAAATAGCAACATGGAAGGCACAACCAAAAGCAACCAGTTCTGGAAACCTTCATATAATGACTTTAATGACACCAGGATGGGAATGTTTGATGAGCCTAAAGAAATGATGGCAAAGTAACCAGCAAAGTATAAGAATGAGAGCCAAAATTTTAAAAAAAAAACTATTTAAAAAAACACTGAAATGAGGAGTATAGTGGGTGATATTAAAAAAAAATCAAGAGAAGCTCTGAGTAGCAGAGTAATAAGAAGCTGACAAAAATATTAAAGAGCTCCATGATGAGATGGAGGAAACCTCCAGAAAACAACAGGAATGGAAAACAGTATGAACTAAACAGCATATCAAAGAACTGTATGATGAGTTCAAGAGGAATGATGCAAATTAAACAATTTTGTATGGACCAAACAACTTTATCAACAATCAGTTGGGCAAAGAGAAAATCAGAGAAAAAAACATATCCCTAGAAACAAAGATGCAAGTTATTGTAACAAATGGAACACAATAAACCTATTTTAAGAGGGACGTTAATAGCAATGCAGGTATCATTAGAAGATAAGAAAAGATCCAAATAAATAATCTAATTGAATATCTTACCAGAAAAAGATCAATAAAGGGAAGCAAAGTAATCAGAAGGAGAGAAATCATTAAATTTTCAGTGGAAATTGGTGAAATAGAAACTAAAACTTAGAAAATTTCAATAAAATTCTTTGACATTGTTTTTATGGATAAACAATATCAACACGCCATTAGCTAAATCCAAAAAATAAATCAGAAAGCTCTGATAAACCAGATCAGCAATGAAAAAGAAGACGATAAAAGCAATAGCTAGTACAGAAATTCAAAAAATTAACTGAAATTACTATGAGAAACTTTATGCCCTGAAATTGGAAAACCTAGGAATGATTACATTTGGGGTGTCCTATTGGTGTCCAGTACAGAGTTAGAGGGAAGTCAAATACCATAACAGGCGAGATATTAAAACTAGGAATTAGAGATGACAGTCCAAAGTCTCACACAATATAAAAACCCAAGGGTCCAGAGGGATAGTACTGCTTGTAGGGAGCTTGCCTTGCTTGATGCAACCTGAGTTCAATTCCCAGTATCCCATATGGTCAACCTAAATTCAATCCCCAGTATCCAATATGGTCCCCTAGAGCACCACTGGAAATAATTCCTGACCTGCAGAGCCAGAAGTGACCCTGAGCACTTCCAGGAGTAATTCCTGAGCACAAATCTAGGAGCAACTCATGAACATTGCAAGATATAGCCCAAAAACAAACAAATAAAAAGACAAATGCCTTAGTCTGGCAAGCTACCCATGATGTATTCGATATGCCAAACACAGTAACAACAAAGTCTCCAATGGAGACGTTACTGGGCCCACTCGAGCAAATCGATGAACAACGGGAGGACAGTGACAGTGACTCAGTCCAATAACTAACTATAACTATCCTTTAAAAAGAGCATTTTTTTTATGTGCCTTTTGGCCATTCAGATTTCTTCTTTGAGAAAGTTTCTTTTCATTTCAGCGCCCCATTTTCTGAAGGGGTTGGATATTTTCTTCTTATAGAGTTCATTGTATATCCTTGTAACCCCTTATTGGAGGGGTATTGGGTGAATATGCTTTTCCATTCTGTAGACTGTCTTTGTATTTTTGTTACTGTTGAGAAATTTACAATAGATGCTGACAAGACTATTCTAAAATAGTGAAAGAGAATTCCTCTTACACCACTATATCCTCCAACATTGATTGTCTAGTCTTTAATATGTGCCATTCTCTCTGGTATGAAATATTTTATATAGTTTTGATTTGTATTTCTCTAATAATAAATAATGTTGAACACTTTTTCATATTAAAAAAAAAATCAGGAATCCTCCCAGTTCCTAAGAGGCCAATAGTTGTATCCTGATACCAAAGCAGAGACATCACTAAAAGAAATTTATAGAGCAGTATCCCTTCTGTTCTTATTTATAAATTATTTTTTAATCTAATTTTTCTTAGAATTTTTTTTTACATTATTATATGTATGGGTAGAGCAATAGCACAGTGGGTAGGGCGTTTGCCTTGCACGTGGCCGACCCGGGTTTGATTTCTTCATCCCTCTTAGAAAGTCTGGCAAGCTACCAAGAGTATCCCGCCTGCACGGCAGAGCTGCAGAGCCTGGCAAGCTCCCTGTGACGTATTCTATATGCCAAAAACAATTACAAGTCTCACAATGGAGATGTCACTGGTGTCTGCTTGAGCAAATCGATGAACAACAGGAGGACAGGATAGGACAGTGCAGTATATGTACGAATCATATAAATGTTTTATCTTTAAGTAAAGTTATTGTTTAACTTTATGAAAATAGATGGAAAACCTACTTTTTTTTTTCAGTATAAAAGGTAAAGGCCCTCCCGTTGTTCGTCGATTTGCTCGAGCGGGCCCAGTAACGTCTCCATTGGAGACTTTGTTGTTTCTGTGTCTGGCATATCGAATACGTCACAGGGAGCTTGCCAGGCTCTGTCGTGCGGGCGAGATACGAGTGAAATTTTAACTGTCATTAGTATATTATAAAATAAATTTTTTCAAGTAGTCATTTAAATTAGACATCTAAAATATTTAACTCATATTTGGAGCCTTCTGGGTAATCTATGCTACTGTACCTATTCAAGAATCTTTGCATTTATGCAATCCAAACATCTGTATTAGCTGGTCTGTATTGAAACTCTGTTATTTATTATTTAGTCTTTTTTCCAACCTTCCTAGATCATTTAAGTTTTAATTTGAATGTATGAAGTTGATGGTGATTAATTATTTATATAAAACCTAATGATGTGAAGTATCAATGTGGATTTATCTTTGTGTATTTTGTTATATGTGCATAAAACAAAAAAAGGGTAATAGTCCAGCAGCTTATGATTTTTTTTTACTCTACTAGTACATTTCAGCAATGTTTTTATGTGATACTTTTTGGATAGTTCTACATGTTTTGGTACAAGTAAATCATTCCTTTTGGGCATTATTGTTATTTAGGATGGTTGTTAGCATATAATAATGTTTGTCTTTAATTCTTTTGGGGCATTGTTTTTCTTTTTTTTTTTTTTTTTGTCAAACCCAGTGATGATCAGGGATTATTCCTGGCTCTGCACTCCTGGCAGTGCTCAGGGAACCATATGGGATGCCATGGATCAAATCAGGGTCAGCTGCATGCAAGGAAAATGCCCTCCCCACTGTACTATTGCTCTGGCCCATGTCATTAATTCTTAAATTAAATGAAGCAAGAGTTGAATAACTTGTATGCATATTATGATACTTATATTTATCAAAATTTGCATTTACCCAGTTACCAAAACATAGGTTTATATTCATTTTTAAAATTGAATTGATTAAAGTGTGTTTTACTTGTGCACACTTTCTTAATCACGTCAATATTGTATTATTTAAATATTAAATGTTTTTTTATTCTTCTCTCATCCAGAATTCTGAAACAATATGATCATCCTAATATTGTCAAGCTTATAGGAGTTTGCACACAAAGACAACCTATATACATCATTATGGAGTTGATTCCAGGTAATTAGATTTTAGAGTTTTCGTGATTGACATTTTAATATTATTTTTTTTTACTTTTTTGTTTAAATATCTTTGATTTCTCCTCTAAATTTTCCAAGAATTTTAACACTTTATGACAACAAGCTTGTTCACGTATTTGATATTTTTACACTCTATTAATACTTGGCTATGTACTGGAAAATGTCAGCCGGCTTATTTTCTTAAATGAGAAATTATATTTTTACAGTGAAGCTACATGTGGAATTCATTTATCTGTATTATTTATTTGAGATAAACTGTTTAGAGTAAGAATTCACTTAATTTAGCTTTATAAGGAAGTACTATCTTAAATTTAGTTCACTATATAATTTTTTTAAATATGTAACCATGCTTCCTCATTTGGCGCTTATATAAAGAATCTTATAGTATTTCGGGTCATTTACAAACTATGACTCTCTTTCATATGTGGACAAAAGATAAAGTAATCTGTCTAGAACTTTGTCTTATAGTATTTCTAATGACTTTAAAAAAAAAAAACTCCTGATCTTTTGTTTTAACAATTTTCACTAAAAAATTAGATAACCTTGAGCTTATAGAATGATGTTAAAAGTTATTTTCACTTTCTCTCTTCCACCTATAGAAAATATAACAGGACAATTTTTATCTTGATAAAATCTTCAAGTTCAAAGATTTTTATTGTTTACCTTCTTACTATTAAATATATATTCAGGAAAGTTTTGGTTTTATTACATTTTTGAAAGAATATTTTGATCTGTATAAGTCTACAAATGATGTTTAGTCATTGAAATGGATTTTGTTGTGTTACCTTCAGCAACTTTTCATTTTAAAGAATTTAAAAGGATTGGGTCTGGAGCGATAGCACAGCGGTTAGGGCATTTGCCTTGCATGCAGCCGACCCAAGTTTAATTCCCAGCATCCCATATGGTCCCCTGAGCACAGCCAGGAGTAATTCCTGAGTGCAGTGCCAGGAGTAACTCCTGTGCATTGCCCGGTGTGACCCAAAAAGGAAAAAAGAAAGAATTTAAAAGGATTCAGTTTTTAATTTTAATTAAAATGCATTAAGATTTCCCACTAAAATTTGTAAATTTCCCACTAAAATTTTGTAGCTTTCCCACTAAAATTTGTAGATTTTCCATTAAAGTTCAGTTTTTAACTTGATATTGAAATGCATTAAGAAGATTTCCCACTAAGATTTGTAGATTTCCCACTAAAATCCTCAAATTTTATTTTATTAATATTTTATAGAATTTAAACTTTATTAATGGGCAAACACATTGATCCCAGTCTATCACACTGGTTTTTGAAATTACCGTATAACTACTCTAGAGTCCTAGGTAATGTCACCATCCTCATTAGGATAGAATTGTCTGTGTTTGGTGCATTGTATGTTCTCATATTTTATACAGTTTGTTATCTAGAGAAGCATAGTTTAAAGCTTTAAAGTAATTATAGTCTGTAATTTTAACTAAAAAATTGTGTATAAATTCTAGGAGAATGTTTAAATGCATAAATGGTTCACATTGATACAAATGAAGCCCCTAATTAATTGAAGATGTTACTGAGAAATTTAGATTCAAAGGGTGGGACTGACTTAATGTACAGAGTAGTTTTGGTTTTGTATAGGTGATGATTAAAGGAAAATAGATGGCAAACTAGACAGAATATAACTGTACAAAAGAGCCACTGAATTGCTTATCTGGACTCACAACCTCTATTGATTTATTATAAAAGTATATGTAACAGAAAATTCAAAGTATAGTGATGGAAAATTAAAATTGATCATCTATCATTCAGTAATCTAATTTTATCACTAAAGTAATTTCCATTTTTATGGGGTTTTTTTCCAAGTAAGATATATTTATTTTTACAGGAACCACTTCGAGCAATTCCATGATACCCTCCCCATACCAACCTCCACCATGCCATGGTACTAGGGCTTTGTGCCTATAATGCTGAGTTCAGGGTTATATCCAGCAGTGTCAGGGCTCGAACCCAGAGGCTCCATTGCTGGGCATTTGCTCTGCCACTTGAGCCCATTGGGAAATAGTCCTTATACCATAGAAAACTATCTAGTATAGGTAACTTGATTTTAACCAAATCTTTTCAATTGATTTATAAAACTGCATAATGTAACAAAGTCTTATTTCTCAAATTACCATAAATTATACTTTCATTGTTTCTTATTCAACCATATAGTTATAGATTTTTATATATTTATATAATTTAACTATTCCATGTAGATATTTATATTTCTGTGTTTTAACAAATAATTCTCAGTGAATATTTTATACAGATAAGCATCTTTAGAGTAAATTTTATAGGAGTACTGTTGTTTATAAGAAATTATACATTTTGATTTCTGGCCAGGATATTGACTTTTTATTGCTATATAAAAATTATCACTACTTAGCTTGTACAACATTTATTGCATCATAGTTGTAGGGGCTAGAAGTCAAGGTATACTTACTTTTCTTGTTTTACTTTTAAAGCTATTTTTGTCTTCATAGTACCATTATTAGAATTTTAAACATACAGTGATGCTTTACCATACCCACCATCAGAGTACATTGATCCTTCCACCTTTATCCCAAGATTTCCTCCTACCCCATGCCTCCTTCCCATCCCTCAGATCACAGTTCTTTGTACTTGTATATCTTTCTCAGCCTTGTTTTCCCTGGAAAGTGTTTCATCCTTTGCTTTATCTCCTTAACTCCTCAGAAGAGATAATCTTGCATTTATCTTTCTGATTCACTTCACTTAGCATTATTTACTCCAGTTCCATCTAAATTGCAGCAAGCTGCATGATTTCATCCTTTTTCCTAAATACATTTTCCTAAATGTAAACCATTGTGCATATAGGGAGTTGTGCAGGGTTCTGTGACCTCTCATTTGTTTGCAAGTCTTGGCTCTGTAAATAATGCTGTGGTGAATAAAGGTGTCCATATGCCATTTTGGATTAATATTTGGGAATAGATGCCCCAGAGCAGGATTATAAGATTAAACGGAAACTCTAATCTACAGTTCTTGAGAAGCCTCCGAACTACGCAATACTCCCACCAGCAGTAAATGAAATTTTCTCTTTTGCCACGTCCCTGCTAGCACTTGTTTGTGGACCTTTTAATAAAAACATGTGTATGCCACTTTTACTGGTGTGAGGTGATGCACTGCCATTTTTATTAATTATTTCCCTGATAATTAGGTATTGAACATTTTTTGTATACCTTTTGGAGCTATCTATTAGGAAGTGTCTTTTAAGAATTGTCTACCTCTCTTCATTTTATGATATGTTTGGGGGGGGTGAGAGTGGGGGTTCTTGGGTCAGGGCTTACTCTGGTAAGGGCGTGGAACTTAATTCAAGGTTCTGTGCTCAGAGATGATTCTGGATAATGCTCAGGGATCCTCTATAGTGCTAGGGATCAAACTGGGATCAGCTACGAAGGCACTTTCCCTCTGCACTATCTCTATGGACCCTTTTTACTATTGTTATTTTTCATTGAGTTTTAAATATGCCTTATGTAACTTGCATACTAGCCTTTTGTATCATGTGTAATGTATGAATATTTTCTCCCAGTCAATGGGGCGTCACTATCATAGAGATTACTAACATATTACAGGCTAAGCCTTGTGTGTTAACATTTTCTAAGCCTTGTGTGTTAACATTCAGCCACAAAGGCAGCCACACCTTAAATACCTGAAAAATCAACAACAAAATAACCCAAAGACCAGTAGAAGAAAGGAAATAATAAAAACCAGAGTAAAAATCAATGCTATTGAAACCAAGAAAGCAATAAATATCAATAAAAAGAGGATCTGGTTCTTTGAAAGAATAAACAGGATAGACTAACATTTGACTAGACTCACAAGGAAAAGAAGAGTGTTCAAATTTACTGGATCAGAAATGAAAGGGGAGAATTTACAATAGAATCCCCAGAAATTCAAACATCGAAGAGTTTCCTATGAACAACTCTACTAGTTAAGCTGGAGAACCTAGAAGAATTGGACAGATTCCTAAAAATATGTAATCTGAAATTGAATGAGGAAAAAATAGGAAACCCAAAAGGTCAATCACAAGCAAGGAATTAAAACAGTAATTAACAATATCTCCAGAAATAAAAGTCAGACCTAGATTCACAGGTGAGTTTTATCAAACCTTCAGAGATGACTTACTGTCATTGACCCCTAAGTTTTTCCAAAATATCGAAGAAACAGGAGCCCTTGCTAAGACCTTCTTTAAAGCTAGCATTACTCTGATACCCAAAGATGACAGAGGTATTACCAAAAAAATGAAGATTTTATACCAATTATCTTGATGAACAGCTATGCAAAACTCAACAAAATCTTAACAAACCAAACTAAAACCATATCAAAGGGGCTGGAGTGATAGCACAGTGGATAGGGTGCTTGTCTTGCATGCGGCCAACGCGGATTCGATTCCCAGCATCCCATAAGTTCCCCTGAGCACCGCCAGGAGTAATACCTGAGTGCATGAACCAGGAATAACCCCTGTGCATCACCAGGTGTGACCCAAAAAGAAAAAAAAACATATCAAATACTTCATATACAATGATGAAGTGGGTTTTGTTTTTGTGATGCAAGGATGGTTCAAAATATATGAATCAATTAGCAAAATACACTGCATTAGTAAAAGATAATTAAAAAACAAAAATCATATGATCATATCAAGCAATGCAGAGATAGCTTTTAACAAGATCTAACACCTGCTCATAATAAAAATCATAAACAAAATAGGGGTGGAAGGAACTCTTCTCAACATAGTAACAGCTATCTATAGAAATCCCATAGCCAATATTATTCTTAGTGGTGAAAAACTGAAAGCAAGCACAAAGCAGAAATGTCCACTGTCTCCACTCTTATTCAGCATTGTATTAGAAGTCCTGGGGGCAGCAATTGGGCAAGAAAAAGAATCAGAGAAATCCAAATTGGAAAAATGGAAGTCAAATTATTTCTATTTGAAGATGACATGCATGATTCTATGCATT